TAAAAGACAGAGATTGTTGTGTTGGATAAAAATGCAAGACTCTACTATATGTGGCCTACAAGAAATGCAATTTAATATAAAGAAATATTTTAACAAAAAGGTTAAAAAGTAAAGGGTGGAAAAGATATGCCAACACTAATCAAAAGAAAGTTAAAATAGCTATATTACTAGCAGATAGTACTAAAGGGATCAGTTCACCGAGAGGACACAATGACCCTCAATGTATTCACCTAATAACAAAGCTTAAAAATTAAGCAAAAACTGCTAGAACTGCAAGGAGAAATAGACAAATCTGTAATTAGAGTCAGAGGTATCAAGAGCTCTCTCTTAATAATTGGTAGAAAAATGTCCAGAAAATCAGTAAGGATATATACTATGGAAAATACTATATAATTTATTTTTAAGAGATATGTTGAACGGCACTATTAGCAAAGATGACAATTGATATTTATAGAAATCATTTAACAGCAGAATACACACTCTTCTCAAGTGCTCATGGGACATTGACTAAAATAGATTATATTCTGGGGCATAAATAAGTCTCAATAAATTCAAAAGGATTTAAGTCATATGAAGTATTTTCTGTAACCACAGAGGAATTAAATTAGAATTCATTAACAGGAAGTTATCAGGCAAACTCTCCAAATAGTTTGAAACTAAATAAATACCAAGTCCCTGCTCTTAACCACTGTTTGTGCAGATGTGTGGGGAGACAGCTGTGCACCGAGCCACGGCGCCCACGAGAAACCTCGAGTGTGCACACTTCTCCACCTCGGAGCTCTATGATCTTGGTGAAGGTGCTTAACCTCTCTGACCTGCTTCGTAATTGAGGCAGTGGGAATAATAATAATGATATGTTCTCCCAGGGTTATTGTAAGAATTAAGTGAGTGAATATATGGAAAGTGTCCTGTACGTACCATCCTGGCTGGTATGAGGTTCTCTGGGAACATTCCCTCCTTCCGTCGTAAGTTTATACGGTTCTTGGCAGGACTTCAGTACATATTCTGATTCCTTAGCATTGTTTGTTTTTTTTAATTACAAAGTCTGTGTACTTAATCATCTATTTCTATAATATATTTATTCAGTAGTTAACTCAGAAATAATCTGAAGTATTAATTTTCAACCAATATTTGCTTTTAACTTTTGGAAAATAATATAACAACTTAATTTTAGGAGCTATAGTTTGAAAAATGATATATGTACATCAAATATAAACAAATAATCTGATTTCTACTTTGTCATCTGAAATTCCCTTGGCTTTAAAGAGATTGCCAAGTAATAAGTGATTATGTTATAACGTGGTGTTTGGCTCCATAGACAGTTATAAAATGATATCAAAATTAACAAAAAACACCTCACTTGGAAAATAATTAGTGAAATGATAGCATTTTGCACATCAGTATTAGACACAGATGTTATAAAACACTAATTATGCATTTCAACAACAAATACAAAAGGAATTTAAAACGGACATACTCAGGATGCTCTGGACTCACCACCAGGCCTTCACCCAGGAGGGAAAGCGTGAGCTAGAGCAGGACGTGATAAATAAGAAGCAAAGGGAATTAAAACTTGGAATATGTACACAGATAATTAATTTTAATTTGTGCAACTCTTGAGTTCATATATTATTCATGCTTTCTTTTGTAGAAATCAGAATTTCCCCATTTATTATAAAAACTGTTATTGGTTATTATATAAGGAAGTTCATATTTTATATATGCACCATCACCAAATTCTTTATTTTGCATAAACATAAGTCCTGCCATCTAAGACATTTTAAACAAACAGCTCCTATCAACATGTAAAAAACATAAGCATGACAATTTGGCATGAATTCATCTTCTCAATGACAAATACTATACTGGCTTAAGCAAATCATTGTGCTTGTGGGCCCATCATTTTGTTTAAACTATTCAGATCATGAAGGAACCAGTAGTGTCATCTCTGTGCTGCAAACACATTCAGGTGGCTCTTGGCAGCCCATGCGACTCCTTAAATGTTTAGAAATCCCACCTGAAGCTCGTCACGTTGCCTCTCTTTCTCAGGTTGTGCAAATTAAAAATCAAATCCGTACCCTCCTCCCTCCTATCTGTAGGCCTTTTCTTGCCCACCTTCCGTCTATTCCTTCCTTTTTTTCTCTCTTTACCTACAATGGATCATTCCAAGGACCAGTCCAGGCGCAAGAAGATCTCCTGCTTCCTGACGGAGGTAGCACAGAACATTCTACTCTTTCAAGCAGGCAGCCACCGCTTCTCTTCCCTGAATGCTTCCTTCGTTTCATCTTCATCCAGGCACTCTTCATTAAACAACTTCAATCTTTAAAAGTCCCTCTAGAGTCCTTCCGTCATCTAATTCACAGTTTGTCCTGTCCCACCCAGTTTGTGTACATTCTTGTTCTCTTAATTTGAGCAATCAGTCCATATTTTGAAAGATGTCTTCTTGTCCTAAAATAACTATTTGGCTCTACCAATTGACCACATGAGGAATTTTTTTAAACACTTGATATCGTACTTCAGTGCACATTTTTCTTGAGCTTCTCAAAAAATGTTTGTTTAGTTGTTTTTGTAAAAATAGTGTCAAAGTATCTTGTGGGCTCTTAACTCTTAAGGTTATTCTTTGCAGTTTTCCCAAATGTTTACATTTGCTTTCCTAATTTCGTGTATTCTTGACTTCATTCCGCTGTGGCTGGGGCACAGTGACCACATGGAGAAAGCGGTGGAAGTCAGCTGGGAGGAGTCGAGGGCTGCCGCAGACGGTGCTCGGGTTGCCCTGCATCATGGCACAGGCCGAGGGAGAGACGGGAGCTGGCCTCCAGCCTGTGCTCTGCTCCCCAAGCCCGGGCTCGGCACACGGCTGTGTTCATCGAAGGAAGGGCTGCTTGGTTGATTGACACAGAGGTGCCACGGGGGCTGCTGATGCCCAGTAGAAGATCATGTATTGGAATTTCAATTTTATAGTAATTCATTGAGAAACCACTAAGAAAGAATAAAAGAATCCAATTTGTTTTGTAAAGAAAACTACTGTGCAGATCACAGATTGGAGAGAGGCAGGAGTGGAAACTAAGGAGGCCAGTCAGGAGGTGGTGGTAGCCAGAACTAGGGTGGTGGAAGTGGAGATGTAGAGAAATGGATGGATTCAAGGCATCTTTTGGAGGCAAACAAGCAGGACTTGGTGCTAGATTAGGGGTGGAGGGTAAGGAAGAGAGAGATGTGGAAAATGATGCCCCAATTACTGACTTGGATAACTAGATGGATGGTGGTGCTGTGTCCTGAGATGGGGGGTGCTGGGGAAGAACAGGTGGAGAGGGGGTTGTATCAAGATTTCTGGTTCAGATGGTTTTTTCAGACACCTGTGAAGCAACTAGATGACTACCAGGAGGCAGGTGGATAGAAGTACCTGAAATTCAGAAGAACATCTGTTCTTTTTTCTGAGTGCCCCAGAGGCTTTCCTTGTCTTTAGCAGCCCGAGGACACCACATCTGAACAATTCTGTCATGCTCCTAAATGATCATTAGTACCCTTTTCCCCAAGCAATCCGGAAATTTATTTTGAGAGAGCCAAAATAACTCCTTGCAGTGAGTATAAACATAATTGTTTTGCCTTGAGGCAGATGCTCAGTCCTACACCCATGGCAATAAACCCGGCTGACCCTACACTAGGCCTAGTCTTCTATCTGCATTTTATTTAATTTAAAGGGCTTCCTGCAAACGTTCTGTTTCCTGGTACCCTTGTTTCAGTGTTCCCCTGAGAAATTCAGGTTGACCTCTCTCCTTCTCCCCTTAGAGGCCTGGATCACAGAGTCGCAGTAAGTCAGGTTTGACTTCACTTCTCCCGAGTTATCTGGCATTTGCTCCCTCTTAAAATTTATAATCGCAGCACGGTGTAAATCTAGGACCAGCCTGTCCCTGGGGTGGCTTCTCTCACCTCACTAGACGACTGCCAGGCCTGAGTGACTCCAGTACTCACAGATTCCTTCTCTCTCTCGCTCCAGCAGGCAGAGCCAAAATCAATGGTTAAAAACCACATGGTCAGAGATGTTGGCTCAACTAAAGGAAAAACTGCCTAATGCTTAGCGCTGTCTGAAACTGGAAACGTCTGCTGGGGAAGGAGTGAGTTAAGGTTCCCGGTGGTGGTGAGGCACAGAGAAGACAACCGTTTGAGGCAGATTCCATGGTGGAGCCGAAGGGTCGAGGTGTAGACGTGATCTCCACTGACTGTTGAATCCCTGCTCGTGCTGGAGTTTCCACAGACGTTTCGTCTCATTTAATCCTCATAATGACCCCCAAGGGAATAGTTACAATCCCACCAGGAGAGGTGACAGTCACAACTTAAGATCACACAACTAGACAGTGGCAGGGCCAGGATTCAAGCCAAGATTTAACTCAACTCTGAATGCAAAGCCCTCGTTTATTCCTCCCGCAGTTCACGGAGGCTTGAGAAATTAAATAGGGGATTTCTAAGGCGCCTTCCAGCGCCATGATTCTATCCGAGTCAAAACATGGATGCAGGCAGCACTGACTGTTTCCCTCCAGTCACTTCTGGCCTCAGTCACATTAAAATGATAATCTGTGACTCCATCGAGAAAGGACCATTTAAAAAATGAACATTTGTACTTTGTATCCCCTCTGAGTTTTCAGCAGAACTTAGTCCAAGGGCCTCAAAATAATTTTTTTTCTTATAGAGTTGCTGGCAAGGACTGAGTTTACAGTATAAATGTACAGAAGCCTAAACTTTTAGTATTTCTGAAAACTATCATAATATATTGTCCTAACTTTTCTACTCATTTTACAGGTCTTAGATCTTAGAACATCTAGAAATATTTGACCCAAGGCCAATTTTTCTGGCCCAGGTTTTAAGTTAGATTTTTTTAAATATTGGAATTAAAAAACTAATATTGGAATTAGAATTTTTAAAAAATATTAGAGTCTCAATATAAGCTTAATTTACCTATTTTAAGGTAAAATGGCTTTATGTGTGTGTTAAACGCTATTTTCTAGATTGAAGCTGAACTCGCCAAGGAAAGGGCCCGACATTTAGTTGAATTTGAGGAGCAAGCCCTTCTCTTTAAGGAAGAAGCTAAACTGGAACTTGATATTGAGAAGGAAAAACACCAAGAAATAGTCCAAAAGTATAAGAAAGAACAAGAGGAAGTGCAAAAGAAGGTGTGTCGTTATGGCGGGCGCCATTACTTAATGCGTCTTAAACTACAGATGTTGGTTATTTCCTGCTGAGAACTCTATGTATTGATTACTCTGTAGCTTTCCTCATGGTCGTTGTGCCTTAGTTGTAACCACATGGGTAGAATGGTTTGGCTGTTCTCCGGAAGGAGTAACTGTGATAAATTATACAAGCATACAATCTAGCTATGTATGGATTTTTTTTCTATGAAAATCAACTTATTTTTAAAATACCATAAATTATATAACTAATAATTGATGTGGTTAGATATTCCAACACTTCAAATATCCACCATCAAAAGATAATGAGTTGTTTTACATAATTAAAATTTTACCAACTAAAACCTATCCCCTTCAGTTGGAAATATTTTCATTTCTAAATATCTTTGAATGAATAAAATATTTTTTAAACGTAATCACACCTCCAGAATTTCTTAAACAGTGTATCCTAAACATAACTTAAGGTTTTGTTAAGGTTCCCCTGTTTTTATTAGACCTAAGCAAAGAATATATACGTGTGTGTGCGTATGTATGTCTATTAACCAAAACCCAGTGGGGCAGCCTATTTTGAATAAACTCATTAAGAGTCTGTGTACATTAAGCACCTGGTGAGATGTAACGGGCTCTCCTTTGGTGTACGGGGCACATGGCAGAGGCTTTTCAGTAGTTCACCGTGAACAAGAGGCAGGGCCAGCTCCCTGAGTGTATGACAAGCGCAGTATCACAGGGCCCCACACTCAGAAAGGCCTCACGCTTCAGGTTTAATGCTCTTTAGATATTGTCTTGAAATTCTTAATAATTTTGTCTTTGACTTTGCGTTTTGTAAGTGAAGTTCTGTTGAGACAATGGAGAATGTGCTGGGAGCTTGGGGCCTCGGCTCACCCGAGGTCCCTCCTTTCCTAGACAGGTTCTGTCCCAGACAGACCTCTTGCTTCCTGGCTCCTGCTACCCCTCCTGCCCCCACCAACTATGCGATTGGTGTTGCAGTCCCAAGCGGCTCAGGGCCCGTTAGCAGGGGGGATGCTGAAAGGCAGCCCGAACTTGCTAGGGGTTACGTTTTTTCAAGAGAAGTCATAAGTCCAGGTTTTGTAAGTAAATTCTCCTGATTTTTAAATGTTGATTCCCTTTTTAAAAATTCAAAACATAGGGGCCGGCCTGGTGGTGCCGCGGTTAAGTTCACACATTCTGCTTTGGCAGCCCGAAGTTTGCCAGTTTGGCTCCCAGGTGCAGACCTACATACTGCTTGGCAAGCCATGCTGTGGCAGGCATCCCACATATGAAGTAGGGGAAGATGGGCACAGATGTAGCTCAGGGCCAGTCTTCCTCAGCAAAAAGAGGAGGATTGGCGGTAGATGTTAGCTCAGGGCTAATCTTCCTCAAACCATATTTGCGGTTCTGTAGGCCTCCTCTCTCAAGGATAACCCACTCTGTTTCAGTGTCAGCTCTCCTCTAGGACAGAGATTACCGTTCAGACCTAGCTGTGGCTCTCTTCCTTCCCAAATTAATCAAAGATACTGGAATATTAATTTAATTTATAAAATTACTAAGTATGGTGAATAGATTTCTTACACAAGTTGTTCTTAATGTAAATTTAACATTTGAAACAAATTTTGGATATGTAACTCTGAAGTAATAGTTCACAGAATTCTTGGAACTTTGGTGTATGAATGTTTCCCAGATTTCTCGTGGACTGGTTCCTCCTTGTACTAACATTTATGCTATGACAATATTTGTAGCATAAATAATAAGGATATGTTTCATCAGAAACAGCTTTGCTATTCCTGGTTGTTTTCTGCTCGTTGTTTTGTTTTTTCAAGGAGAAAGAAAACAAGCAGTCTTTTCTGCTTCCTTCTAAGGACTTTCGTGACTATAAGGAGAAGCTTCTCCAAGTTATTCTCTCCTCTGTTTATCCAGAGGTACCACCTGGAAAAGCAGTACATGTTCAAAGTATTCTGGTATCCTCTAGAAAGGCACTAATATGGTAGCCACATGTGGCTACTTAAATTTCCATTAATTAAAACTAAGTAAAATGAAAATTGCAATTCCTCAGTCACATTAGCCACATTTCAAGTGCTCAATAGCCAGTACTGGCAAGCGAGAGCCAACTGTGCACATCTCTTCCAACTTAGCCATGGTGAGGTCACCTTTGTAGCTTGGAATCGGCCATGGTGAGAGAATTTACACCATGGAAATTAGATGCAAACCTGGCTTTTTGTGTGTGTGAGTCCACTGGTAAACATTTACCAACACACCACGGTCAATAGCCACATGTGGCTAGTGGCTACTATATTGGGCAGGGCAGAATATTTCAATATTCAATATGTCCATATTGGACATCACAGAAGGTTCTGGACAGTGCTGCTCTAGAGACAACGTAGTATCTGAGGTACTGCCAGTCATTATATTCAAGAAAGAAGAAAAATACATCAAAAGAAGACTTACTGGTATGGTCCGAGTAGAATACGGCTACGCTACTTCCCCACCTGCATCCCCAAACATCAGTTATTTCAAGGTCCCAAAGCCATCTTAGAGAGAGTCCAGACAGGCACTGGATGAAGACGTGCGCTGTCCTTGGTAGCTCAGTCCAGTCACAGAGATTTGTACATTTCCAAGGGTGCCCAAGAGGTTAGTGCAATTTCATTTTAGGTGGTAAAAGTAAAAGTTTTAGTCTTAATTTTTAAAAAGAATATCTTAAGGCCTACGTGTGTCATAGGATTTGTTTTCATCTGATCAGAAGAGTACACTGATTATTTAGAATAAGCCTCTTAAAACCATAAGAACTCTGTGGTTACCTAGAGACTACTGCCTACAAACTAACATAAGATTTTTCTTACAGATATCTGACTTAATCGCAGGCGCTACTAGAGATCTAAGGCTGGAAGTGGCCACTCTTGAAGAAAAACTCCATGAATCTCATATCCGATACACTGAAGAATCTGAGTCAAAGGAGAAAGAAATCAAAAACCTTAAAAATTTGGTTGCAGAATTTGAATCTCGCTTGAAGAAGGAAATTGACAGTAATGATTCAGTTTCAGAGGACCTGAGGAAAGAAATGAAACAGAAGTCAGATGAACTGGAAAGAGTAATGCTGGCACAAATGCAACTGATACAGCAATTTAACCAGTCCCGGGAAGAGGTAGGAAGCTGATGATGGTACCATTGTAGTCAGTGTGAGGGCGCATGTTCTTTCAAAACATAAACAAACAAACAAAAACATGAAAGGCAGCTTGACTGTTAGTCAGGGATCTGGGGTCACAGCCTGGCTCTGTCCTTAACTAGGCAGTGATGTAACTTCTCTGGACCTGGCCTCCTCTTCTGTAAAATGAATACACTGAACTTCACAATCTCTAACGTTTCCTGTGCACCCAGTTCTACTGTGTTGTAAATAACCATTTAAAACCTCTAAGACTAGGAATCATTATATATTTATGTCTTAACTTTTTTAATATTAAATCTTTGCCAAAGAAACTTTTAGAGCACTTGCTGCTTAAGTTCAAAAAATATTTGGACAATATATTTTAAATGTAATTTTTCTTTAGGGCTTCCTCTTTCTGTAAACCTAAACTTATAAGGTAGTTTACATGTGTTGGTCTTCTTTCTTATGTATGCATGATTATTTCAGCAATGCTTTTATTTAAAGTGGAGTAGACTTATTTTATTTTTTTTGTTGAGGTCATAATGGCTTATAACATTGTGTAATTTCAGGTGTATTTCATTATATTTCAGCTTCTGTATAGACTGTGTTGTATTCACCACCAATAGTCTCGTTTTTATCCATCACCATACATTTGTGCCCCTTTACTGCTTTTGTCCTTCCCCCACCCCCTTCCCCTCTGGTAACCACTAATCTCTTCTCCTTGTCCATGTGTTTGTTTGTTTGTTTATCTTCCACATATGAATGAAATCATACGGTATTTTGTCTTTCTCTGACTGACTTATTTCACTTGGTATAACACTCTCAGTGTCCATCCATGTTGCCACAAATGGCATGATTTTGTCTTTTTTACAACTGAGTAGTATTCCATCGCATATATATACCACATCTTCTTTATCCATTCATCCATTGATGGGCACTCTAGTTGCTGCCAAGTCTTGGCTATTGTGAATAATGCTGTGACGAACACAGGGGTGCCTGTATCTTTTTGAATTAGTGATTTCATGTTCTTTGGATAAATACCCAGTAGTGGAATAGCTGGATCATATGGTGTTTCTATTTTTAATTCTTTGAGGAATCTCCATACTGTTTTCCATAGTGGCTGCACCAATTTGCATTCCCACCAGCAGTGTATGAGGGTTCCCTTTTCTCCACATTCTCTCCAACACTTGTTGTTTCCTGTGAAGTAGACTTATTTTGATTTGAATTTTTTTTCTAATGAAGTCTTATTTCTGAACTGCTAAGAAGTTTAGAAATAGTGGATGCTATAGACTGAATGTTCGTGCCCCTCCAAAATTCATGTGTTGAAACCTAATCCTCAGTTTGAAGCTGGGACCTTTGGTAGGTGATTAGTTCTTGAAGGTGGAGCCCTCATGAACAGGATTAGTGCTTTTATGAAAGAGGTCCCAGAGAGCTCCCTCCTGCCTTCTGCCCTGTGAGGACCCAACAAAAAGATGGTTGTCTGTGAATCAGGAAGAGAGCTCTCACCAGACACTGAATCTGCTGGCACCTTGATCTGGGACTTCCCAGCCTCCAGAATGGTGAGAAATAAATTTTGTTTGAGTGTTTGAGCCACCTGGTCTATGGTACTTTGTTATATCAGACAGTAGTGCAATTAATCCCTTCTCTAATCCCCAACATTATGTCACATTAGAATATTTGATCCTGTTTATATCAGTATAGCAAATAAAGGCAAATGGAGGAAGATTCTGAATGTTAATAAGTAATATTTTTGTTGGTTTCATTGGCATCTTAAAAAAGAATAAAAGGAAAGTGCTGATAACAATATTGATTATTAACAATTAAATATACCATATTCTTGCTATACTTAAACTATCAATCAAAATTAAAAGTTTATGCCATCATTATAATTATGAAGTGAACCTGTTGCAAACAAGTTATACATTTAAGTTAAAATGGGGCATGGACAGAATACTGGATCAAGAATATTGCCTAAAACAACCCTATGAAGTAGAAATTATTCCCATGTGACAAATGAGGAACTGACTCCAGAAGGTTGAATAACTTCCATAAGGTCACGCAACATGGTGGAGCCCAGATTCATATTTGAATCTACATGGTACGATGCTTCCTCGTTCAGGAAACCTGAGTTCTAGCGATTCTGCTTCTAAATTTCAAAGCGACCCTCAGGCTTAGCACTCAATATCTCCAGCCTCATTTTTGTTTTACTCTTAAAATAACAATAAACACACTACACAGTCCGTCAGATGGTCAGGGGGTCAGACGATTGAGTGTCTCATGATGGAACACAGAAGCAAAACCTCCCTGATAAAGGGAGCTGCTTCCCCAGCCAGGAGACTCGGCCCCACTGGAGAAACCCTGAGAAGGCGAAAGGTGATGCAAATTTGCTTCAAACGAGACAGCAGTGTTGGCGTTCTAGAGAAGGGACCGCAAGTTAAAGGAGAGAAAGCTCAAGACAACTAGACCAGCAGGTTTTCTCACTCTTAAATCCCAAAAGAAATGGCAATGTGGAAGGTGAGGAGTAACTTAGAAACTAGAACAAGTAGAAAAAGACAGAAGAGTCAAATCCAGTAACTGTGTATTGAGCATCTGTCCAGGTACCAGGCACTGTGCCAGGAACTAGATATGCAATTATGAACAAGACTGACGATGGCCATTCCCTACTCTCAAAGAGGAATTGAAAGAAAATCTTATCTGAGTAATTAAATTGACATCAGAGGAAAATGACCTAAACAGAAATTTATCATATAAAAAGCATAGACTAAAAGCTAAAAAATTGGCCTAAGGGCCTATATTGTTATCCATTACTACACAATAAATTCTCCTCAAATTCAGTGGCTTCAAACAACAAACATTTATGATCCCACAGTTTCTGTGGGTCAGAGGTCTGAAGGTGGTTTGGCTCTGTGCCTCTGGCTCCAGGCCTCTCATGAGCTGGGTGTCAGGCTGTAAGGGCTGCAGTTTCATCTAAAGGCGCCACTGGAGGAGGACTGGCTTCCAGGCTCACTTTCTGGTTGTTAGCAGGATTGACCTCCTCACAGGCTGTTGGGACGAGAGCCTCACCTTGCTGGCTATTGGTGAGAGGCCTCCCTCAGTTCCTTGCAATGGGGATCTCACCGTATGACTTGGCAGCTGGCTTCCCGCAGAACAAGCAAGTGAGCGAGAATGAGAGAGTGCAAGAGAAGCTGCATGGGATAGAAGCCAATCTTTGTAACTGAACCTTGGAAGTGACATCCCACTGCTTCCACTGTATTCTATTCGTTATAAATGAGTCAGTAAGTCCAGTCCAGTCAAAGCAACGGCATTGCACAAGGAATCGCTGGCAGCCATTTTAGAACTGCCAACCTCAGGGCCTCTGGAGGTAATTTTGGCAAAAGGAGCTAGATGAAAAGTGAACAATGAATGTATTTATCAGACTAAAGGAGCTGCATTTGGAGCTCTTCCTGCTCAAGTTGTAAAAGGAAACCACTTAGAGATGAAGTTTTATTTTTTTAAAAAATGCTGACTTTTCAAAGATACAAGACACTGGGTTGGTATATAAATGATCACAGATCATTCCTAAGGAGTAGAAAGGGATCCTTCCAGAAGCACAGTTACCTCAGGACACACAAAGGGCAGACTTTCTTCAGCTGTTGGGGGCGGGGAGGGGGGGGAAGGGGAGGGAAGGGGGCGGGGGGGGGGGGGGGGAGGGGGGGGGGAGCCGCTGGTGCGGGAACACGACTGAATTCTCCACTGGATGTTAAATAATTACAATTGAACTGTGGGAGTAAATAATTAAGGCTGCTTCTCTGGTTGAGCACGCCGAAGTCCACAATATTCTTACAAGAATACGAAATGAGCCAATAAAAGTGAGAGGAGTTATGAGCCAGAAAGAATAGAGATTGTAGCATGTAAAGTGAAAAGCTCTATTATTCTGATCGTGCATTCCGGACACTTGAAATTTCTCAGGTTCTGGAGAAATAAAGCTGCATTTAAATGGGGAACAAATTCCCATTAGAATGAAAATAAATTAATGGTCTAATAAGGAAGCTAATTAAGGGTAGGAAGCCCTGCTCTCTTTCAGGAAGCCAGAGAATGGAGGGACTTTGTATTTAGTTGTATGAAGAAAGTTCTTAAGGATGGGAGGGAAGCCATAGCCTCTACAGGGCAAAACAGGCAGCCTGCGCGGCAGGACTGCTAGAGAGCGTCCGCGGACGCACAGGGCTTAGGAAGGTGGAGCACAAAGGTGCAGGGCGATAAGAAGAGAGGGACGGAAAGGGAATCTGTATGGTAAATGTAAATACGAAACGGGGCCCCTGAAAATTCTTCATACAGCGAAGACACACACATAAAAAACTGGAATATTTAAAGAAAAAAAAGGACTTCAGAAAATAAACAGAATACGTTAGAGAATAGGTATTATCATTTAAAACCAGGTTAAAATACATCACCTGATTCTTGCTGCCAGTTTTCCTTCCTCCTGGCTCCATGTAAGTCCTTTCAAGACAGTGTGGGGTCTTGTGATCCAGAGGAAAAATGTGGTAAGTTAAAAAAAAAAAAAAAATTCACATACAACTACCAAAGAAAAACCAGTACAAAGAGTTCAGGATTTTAGTTGTCTTAAGACTACAGATAAGGGAAACAAGGAGCAGACGTTTTAAATTCTACTAGTTCCTGTAGCCATCTGATGAAGACGAAAGATGTTTAAAAATAGAAAGGAATGCTCTTGGTTAAACCTGGAGAATTGAATACATATGTTTATCTCTGCTTCATCCCAAAACACCACTAAAATGAAAGGAAATTAATAAAAAGTGAATAAATTCACAAGGAAAAGAGAACAGGAGAGGAAGGATGAAATGAAAAAGATGTGGACCAAATTTTGGAAAATGGAAAGCACAGTATGGATGAGAGGTAATTAGTAGACTACAGGCTATTGAAGTCTAATGCCTGTAGGACTGGGGTGGAATCCTAAAAGGAGCAAACCCAACGGTGTGACACAACACGGGAAAAGCTCAGGATTT